TGCACAAGTTCCATATATGCTCGAGGAGGGAATGACGACAGAGTAAGTTCTTCTTCTTAGTTTGTCAGCAATTCTGGAGCGCCAAGTGCTTTCATGGGGATGGCCTTGCCTTATTGATTAGTATACGCGCCGCAACCGCGCGTGTCGCAGACCTACCCACTCGACAACTGTGAATATTAACCGTGCAAATCCCATGACCACAATTCGAGCCTGACGAATAACCTGGCATGCTGGGCCCTGCTAGGTTACATTGTTGGGACTTTCGAGCCCCACTGGGTTACATAGTTAGGAATGATGACAGCATCGGTGCTTTTGTTCAAATGTTTTCTTTGGAGAGAGAACGCTCCATCAATTGATTCTTTTCTATCGCTATTGATTCTTCTCCAGCGCTGTCAATGACACCCGATACCGAGCGCAGTGACCGTCCAGCGCCCGCCACCTTGTCGCCGGTGTTTACACAGGACTTTTTTCTGTTCGGGCTGGCTACTCTCTATTTGCTTTCGGCCATTTAAAGACCGCAGACTCGCAATAATACCATTGTTCCCTGAAGGCTCTGGAAGTGAACCATTGTTTTTTCCATGAATGTTCCCAACATTGCCTTTGGTGACATCAAAAAGCTGCTCTCAAAAAGTTGTCCCGAAATATCGAACCCGGGCTAAAGAGTTTTGGGCTTGTTTTTGGTGCTTCTTTAGCGAATGTTAAGTGCAAATCCGACAAGAGGGAGGGGGCATCCAAGAGACTCGTTATGCAAAGTTGGGACTGCAGTAAGATCCCCGGCGAGGGGGGGGGATCGTATTTGCTAGCTGGAGGAATGGGAAGGTCGTAACTACGTCTGAGGGAAATAGTCTCGGTAGTTCTCTTCCATCGGATTTTCCTGATTCAAATGCATATACCTCTTTCTTCTCTCTCTCCCCACCCCACCCCCCCCCCCACTCACCACGCTCGAGTCAGTTTTAGGCGTTCAAGCTAGTGCAAAGGCGTTTGACCTGAAAAGAGAGTACTTTGTTTCAGCCAAAGGGCAGCGATCGCTCAGGCGTTTGACGAGTACAAGCAGAAAACGTGCGTTCGATTTGTGCCACGTAATGAGGACGATTTCGACTATATCTACATTAAACGGAATGTGGCATTCGGGTATGACCTAACAGTTATTCGATCGATCAATATTTCCGATCAATATACATACTTCTACTTAAATAACATTTAAGGCATGCTACTGGAATGTTCGTGGAACGTACTCTATAGAGACCCTGTCATATTTGAAAGCTTTCGCAGTCTGATCCTCTGAAGTCTTTCGCTTGAGAAGTATCTTGTACAGCACCCCACTGTACCTAGCCGAAATCTCCCAGCGACTTGATCCCCTTGGTGATATGGTCAAGAAGAAAAGCTGGGCAGATACTTCTTGGCTTAATTCCCGCCATTGTGACCTTCTTCGTGGTGCCGCTCCCTTCTAAGATGACGTAGAGGGGAGGGGAGGGGGACGCCAGTGAAGGAAACGAAGTGGTTCTCTCGCTCGGCCTACACAATTCCGATCCACGTGCACGGTATCTTTAAATCAGGGCACATCATCGTTGCTGAGCATAAAGGAGACCAGTATTCGGCCCCAAGAAAAATGTTGGAGCTCTCCTGTAGAT